AATCTCAATAACAGTTTCAATAGGTTCAGTTCGGTAAACTAACATCCTTCACTCTATGATGAGCAATTAATCAGTTTTACTGATCATGTCCTAACTTTTACAACACATATTGAAATTGTGGTTTGAATAAATTGAATAATGAACTACTTTAGGGCTCTGTTTTGGCTCTGCTCTGTTCAGTTTTCATATTGCAGATATGGCCAATATGCAATAAAAAAAGTTCAGATATGCAGAAATTTAATAATGAACTCCCTCAGGGCTCCATTTTGGCTCCGCTTTGTTCAGCTTTTATATTGCATATATGCCCAATATGCAATCAATGTTCGGATATGCAGATGACTGGACATTGGCATTCAACTCAAAAACTTCTGAGAAACTGAACTAACTCTAATGCCTGATCTCGTCACCCTTGGAAGATACTTCCAAAAATGGAAACTAACCAAAAAAAAGTCAGAAGCATGCTGTTTCAGAAAAAGAGCTCGATGGGTCTTTGAAAAAAAAACAATTTATCTGCAACAGATTTCCGATGTCACATTAGACAGAACATAAACATAAGTATATCTGACAAAATTTCGCCACGAAAATCAAAATTCGAAATAATACTCATCACAATCTATGTGACACTACATGGGAATTATCTTCAGTTGAGACTTTATGAATATCTGCACTTTGTCTAGGCTTCTCAGCAGCTGAATATTCCTTTTTTTGGTCAAACAGCGCTCACTCCAAGAAAATTGAAGTAGAACTACAACAACATGCGAATTATCACCAGCCCCTATTTACCAACTCCTCGTCCTAAGCTATAACCCACCACTAGATCTTCCAAAAAAACATGTTCTTAGGAAGGAATACGAGAAAGTTATCAGCAACCCCTAACTCCTGCTTCATGAAAATCTACAGAGATCTTGACCAGCAAAAACTGAGAACAATTTCAATGTTGTCAGCACCTTGCAGACGGAATGTAGGCAGAAATCATCCCTACGATTTCATGTGTTACACAAAAGACAACTAATTTTGAACTACCAAGAAAAACATGGATACGCCTCGATAGAGTTGATACAAACCATAGCAAATATGTAAACTTCTTATACAAGTGCACTAAACTTCCATCTCCCATGTGCAACCTGTGGTGTTGCCAGGCAGACATGCATTGGAAGGAGTCATGAAGTCAATCACGAAAGTTTCTTGTTGGTGTATTTCATCAGTTCGGACTTCCATTGTCTAATATAATATAAATTGATTTGAAATCC